CTGTTTCTTGATAGCTTTTAGCTTTTGTCACTGAAGTATGATTTTAAACCCCACACTTTATTTTTTAAACTTGGCTTCCCTTTTCCATTTCTTAAATGATTTTTTTTCGTAATAAGACCACTGGTATTTGGATCTTTGTTCAGCCTGTATTTCCCTATCCTAAGTGTTCCCAGTCTCTTGTTATTTTAGCATTCTTGCTCTCTCTGAAATGTCCCATCTGATCTCTCTCAAGACATATTCAGTAAAATAATTATTGACAGGCAAACTCATCTCTTACATATTACCTGTCTTTTCTGTGTTCATATCAGCCAATAGCCCAAAGAGCAAGCATAAAGAGGAAGCACCTTTAAAAAGATCAATGGATTCCTCCTGGTTTTGGAATTTCAGCTTGGAAGTGCCTAAAATGTTATAGTTACACATAAGGTTCATTTTAACTCACAGGTTTCCTATTTGGCTTGTGGTTAATTTAGATGTAGGATCATAGAATCATAGAATAGTTAGGTTTGGAAATGACCTCAAGATCATCTAGTCCCAGCCCCCTTGCCATGGGCAGGGACACCTCACTCTAAACCATCTCACCCAAGGCTTCATCCAACCTGGCCTTGAACACTGCCAAGGATGGAGCATTCACAACCTCCCTGAGCAACCCATTCCAGTGCCTCACCACCCTAACAGGAAAGAATTTCCTCCTTATATCCAATCTTCCCCTGTTTATGTTTTAAACCATTACCCCTTGTCCTGTCACTACAGTCCCTAATGAAGAGTCCCTCCCCAGCATCCCTATAGGCCCCCTTCAGATAGGTCTTACTAGATGGCCACTGATTCTAAACCTGTGTATATTTTTAAGGGCAGTTTAGACACTTAGAGGCATGTATACCTCTTCTTTTCACTTCTGTTCTTCATTGTGCTACTTAATATAGGCACTTTTGAAAGAGTGTTTGTCATAACCAGGTTAAATGCCCATTAGCTTCCTATAGGATCTTCAGGGTTATCCGAATAAACTCCTGAATTAATTTTAGAAGACAAGAGTTTCCAATACAGCTGAGATTAATGGGGAGTGAGGAAAGATTTCAAAACTGAAAGTTTGCAAGTATGATTGCATCACAATTTGCAGTTAATGTCAGATGCAGGTTGAAAACTGCAAAGAACTGGCTCCTTCAGCTATATAGGAAATTTAATGGTGTCTCCTTAGCCATGTTCTTCTGGAAGAAGAAAATGAACTGTCACCTTCTACACCACACTAATCCTCAGCTGAGCATTTTGCTGAAATGCTTATTCCGGTCTTTGTTCTTTACTGCAGTGCAAAAGTACTGAAGTTAGGTTTTTCTGTTTGAATTCCATCAAATTCAATAGAATCTTTTTAGTCTTCTGTTCAGCTATTGCATTGTCATATGCCCAAAATAAGATGATCAACCCTGTTAATGATTGATGTAAAGGTGCAACAAAAGAGGCACCATTTTATGTCAGCATTTTTTATGAGAGAAAAAAATCTGGGGAGAATGATAAAAAAGAGAAAGATCTTTGATGAAATCCCTATAAACTGGTCTAGGATAAGGCATTCCTGTTCACAACAGGGGGGTTGAAACTAGATGATCTTAAGGTCATTTCCAAACCTAACCGTTCTATGATTCTATGATAATTAAATTGTGAATGCATTATGCTTACAGCAAATGAGCACTATTTTTTTGCAGCTTTTTGGTACTAAACTGTTGATTTTGCGTTGATACCTTTCTAAGTATTAAAGTTCAGCCTTCTTAGTGTATTAGCTTTCTATATCAGATAAGGTCTAAGAGATACTTGCTGCTAAACCTAAGTATGCATTTACTTACAAAGACATGAATTGTTTTTTCATTAAGTAGTAATCAAGGTACAAAATTTGCAGTGGTCATACCTTGGTATGAAAATTAAAAAAAATAAAGACCCTGTTTTTCACTTGCAGAATGATCATATCCCAGCAACCACATAAAAATGTTTTCTGAAATATTTGAGTTAGATTTAATACTATATACGGCACAACAACTATTTTGCATACCTGCTTTCACTTTCTAATGTCAGTAGTATTTATATTCTTTTTTTTTTTTTGTGTCCCCTCTAATGCACTAAAAGAAATGACAGAAGGAAGGTATGAATGAGGAGGAGCACAACAGAAATATAAATTTTAAAAAAAGTAAGAATGTACAAAACTCAGGAATTTTTTTAATTGTTAATGTCATTAACACTCTTAATAAAGCATACTATTTATTACACTTTTGTGAAATTTACAAAAGCTGCTGACATTGAGGTGTTGTTTTATGACTTACAAGCATCAGTAATATGTTTGCTGCTGGTGTTTCATAATTGCTCAGAATCATTTAGTTAGTAGAGTGCCTGCCCCTGCAGTCATGAAGCATCATTTTCATCTAATTATGCTATCGGAACAGAAGCAAAGTGAACACTGTGGTATTGTAATGTTTTGCAATAAATAAAACAGATCAGTATGTGAAATACTTGCAGTAGTATTAAATATTTTCTAAGTTGAATGATTGTTTGACTTGGGAGAAAGTGTCCTTTGTGCAAATTAATTAATGTGGTATTTGGTTTACTGGATATCCAAGAGCTTTCATGACTTTATATTTTCTACTTGAAAGCAGAGTAATATTTTTTATAACCTCTCTTTTTTGGTGGTGCCACCATCACTCTATGTAGTATTATACACTTAATAAATATCTGGAATGTTTTCAGTACGAAATATATTTTACCAAACATTTATACATATACATATATCTGTTTCTCTACTTCAGTGTTTAGAGTTAGGCCCATGGCTGTATAGTGCCTCTGAAGCGTCAATATAAACTGAGTAGAAAATCACTGAAAGCTTATCCAGGCTGTATCCTGTGATATGAAGCTGATTCAATTCTATCGATTCTCTCCATTGGAGTTATATCAACCTTCTCCAACTACTTATGACAGCAGTAACTGGGTAAACTGCTTTTGAATTTACTAGTTTCTACCTGTCAGCGAATATACACATCATATATAAAAATATGCCCACTTGAAGCTGCCAGCAGAAGAACTCTGAAAAAGACCTTTAAACTTTTCTTCAGTATTTGCATTTTGCAGACTGAAAAATCAAGACCACTCATCTTAGATAAATGCAAGTATAGTTATTCTGTCCTAAATTTTTAGATAAAAAATGTGTCTTTCTTGTAGTTGATGTTGTAATCACCTTTTTCCAAATGAAATGGCTATGAACACCCCAAAGTATGAACTTGAATTGATCTTAAACGGTCCCAATTTTTCCTGTGTCTAGCTGCCTTTTTTCCTGTAGAATATTCTTTCAGTTATTCTATAGGTGTTCATCCTTCCTGGACTCCATTCACGTATGTGGGAGAAGTCGTTCCCTTCAACTATTTCTTTTCCTTTAATTTTTTTTTTTTAATATGTTGTGCAGCCAGTGGAAAGACAAATATATCTGCAGAGAAGTATTTAAGTTTACAGTGAGCAGAATAATCCTCTGCACCCCCTATTCCACCAAGTGTAAGAGAATCCTAGGGTTGTTACAGTTAGGCATGTGAAGTTAGGTGGAACAAATTTGGTTTCAAATACTAGTTTTTGGCATTTGCTGACAGGATGAAAGGCCAAACTGTATCTTCTCAGTAGGTAAGTTTTGCTTAGTGTCTTCTGGACAAAGAGGGACACAGGTGGCCTTACAGTTCACTCATTAAGTTTTTCTCTTGCACATTATAATTAGGTATTTGAAAAATAATAGTGTGTGCTTCAATTTGTACATTTTCCAAGCAGTATATTGCTGCGGTCTGTAACTGACGTAGACTTTTGGAAATCTGCTGTCATTGTGTCGATAGATTACAAATTCCCATTTCCCAGAGTGTATTCCATATAAAATGAAACAAATATGTTCTAGTAGTCAAGGCAGAAATAAACCAAAATGTAGTTACTGATACACAGTGTCATAATCTTTCAGAAGTGTTACACATACCTCTTCTGTGGCCTATCCTCCTCTGTTTCTTCAGGATTTGGAAAGCTCAGGTAGACACTGCAGATACTTCATTCCAGTGATGTGTTTTGCATTCACACAATGTAGCAGCTTGAGGACTAGGTGACAATGACTATTCTAATTTACTCTAACGTAATTTGTTAATGTACTTATCTTCCTTAAAATGGGGCATAAAATTTTAAGCTCTTCATTAGAACCAAGACAACATACAAGATGTGCACCACCCACTTGCCAACAGAAGTTTTTGAATACACTGTCTCATATGAAATGTGTACAACACATCTCAAAAGAACAAGTATTGTAAATACCATCATGGGGCCCTGTTTTGCAAAATGTATTTGAGTATATCTATAAAGTTGTGCGTATGTATGCAAGGATGTGTCAATTATGAGATTAGCAAAATTTCTGAGCTTCATTAGAGGTCTTGTGTGTCTATTTGGGTTAGTTGTATGAAATCATAGTTCTTTAGTATAAATGATCATGTAGGATTTGCAACCAGAAATATACAGAAGAGATTTTCCAAGATGACTAACATCTGATAACTAGAACTATAAATAACCCTGAAGGTTAGTTTTCATGCAGTAGTTACATTGAATGGTGCAATATTTCTCAACAAGCAGTTTTCTGAACGGAGGCTGAAGTTATTTAGTTAACTAAATTGTTTTAGTAAACAGTCTCCCAATAATATATTAAGAAAAGTTTGTACTCACCTTCATAGAACCTGTAAACTGTAACTGAGGCTGTTATGTTTCATTATGATCCAGATGTGAAATCTGTGATTGGGTTATTGGGTTTTGCCATCATAAATCCTCTAACAGGTCACCACGGGTTAAAATGTGAAATGTGGAAGAGTTCCAGTAAAGTACTTCTTAAACCTGAAAGGAATATATGAGATTGTGTCTTTGTTATTACACATACATTATACATTTTATATTTTTTCCTCACAAACTATGTTTTGTATGCTGGTTATGCATAGTATAACCCCTTTGAATGTTGTTTGCTTCAGGTGTCTTGCTGGATTTTCGGGACAGTTTTGTGAAATAGAAGTTAATGAGTGTAATTCATCACCTTGTCTACATGGCTCAACTTGTGAAGATCGTATCAGTGGATACACTTGTAAATGTCAAAAAGGTAACTGGCATTTGACAGAATAATCTTAAACAACGATAGTTTATTAAACCTTGTATTGGTGCTACTACCAAGAAAATTGGTAAATTATATCAAACTTACTATTTGTATATAACCTATCGGGTGCACAAATATTAGCTCTCTATGTCAAGTTTTTAAAATGAAATCTGAAAAGAATTAACTATTCTAATAAGCACATTAGAAACACTTAAAACTAAACCCAGTTCATTAAGTAAGTCTGCAGAATTATCTGGAGCTAGGTTTATTATATATGATTTCTCTCAGGAGAGACCTTATCACCATGTTCCAGTATTTAAAGGGTGACAACAAAGATAAAGACACCCTTTTTACAAGAAGTCACATGGAAAAGAGGAGGGGTAATGGGCACAAGTTACTCTTGAGGAGATACCGGTTGGACACAAGAGGAAAAATTTTCACAATGAGAACAATCAGCCATTGGAACAATCTCCCCAGGGAAGTGGACTCCCCAGTACTGTACTCTTGTAAGATCTGGCTGGACAGCATGCTCGGGCATCTAGTCTAAGTCACACTTCACCAAGAAAGGTTGTACTAGATGATCTTTGAGGTCCCTTCCAAACTTATATTCTATGATTCTACGATTCTGTGATTTACTAATGTAACTTACTGACCAAGCAAGCAGTCAAACAGGAAATGTACATCAACTACAGAATTTAACTAGCTATTTAATAAAGTTGATTGAAAAGAGATTCTGAACATTTTAACCAACATTTATTATTATTGCTGTCACACATATCCATGGTTGTATCTGCTGGGTGGGATGAAAACAACTTTTCTGAACTATTATAAATCATAGAATCATATAATAGCTAGGACTGGAAAGGACCTTAAGATCATCTAGTTCCAACACCCGTGCCATGGGCAGGGACACCTCACACTAAACCTTGTCACCTAATGCTCTGTCCAACCTGTCCTTGAAGACTGCCAGAAATAGAGCATTCACAACGTCCTTGGGCAACCCATTCCAGTGCATCAACAGCCTTATAAGAAAGAACTTCCTCCTTACATCCAATCTAATCTTCCCCTGTTTATGTTAACCCATTACTCCTTGTCCTATCACTACAGTCCCTAATGAAGAGTTCCTCCCCAGCATCCCTATTGACCCCCTTCAGATACGGAAGGCTGCTATGAGGTCTCCACACAGCCTTCTCTTCTCCAGGATGAACAGTACCAACTTTCCCAGCCTATCTTCATATGGGAGGTGCTCCAGTCCCCTGATCATCCTCATGGCCCTTCTCTGGACTTTTTCCATCAGTTCCATGTCCTTTTTATGTTGAGGACACCAGAACTGCACACAATACTACAAGTGAGGTCTCACAAGAACAGAGCTGAGGGGCAGGATCACCTCCTTTGACCTGCTGTTCATTTTCTCGTCAACCAGCACCCCCAACTCCTTCTCTGCAGGGCTGCTCTGACTCTTTTCTCTGCCCAGCCTGTAGCTGTGCCTGCGATTGCTCCAACCCAGGTGTAGGACCTTGCACTTAGCGTGGTTAAACTTCATGAGGTTGGCATCAGCCCACCTCACAAGCATGTCAAGGTCCCTCTGGATGGCATTCCTTCCCTCCAGCGTATCAACCGAACCACACAGCTTGGTGTCATCGGCAAACTTGTTGAGGGTGCACTCAGTCCCACTGTCCATGTCACCAGCAAAGATGTTGAACAAGACTGGTCCCAACACCGATCCCTGAGGGACACCACTTGTTACAGGTCTCCAGCTGGACATTGAGCCATTGACCAGAACTCTTTGCATGTGGCCATCCATCCAGCTCTTTATCCACCGAATGGTCCACCCATCAAATTGATGTCTCTCCAATTAAGGGACAAGGATGTCATATGGGACAGTGTCAAATGCTTTGCACAAGTCCAGGTAGATCATGTCAACTGCTATACCCCTGTCCATCAGTTCTGTAACCCCATCATAGAAGTCCACCGAATTGGTCAGGCAGGATTTTCCCTTAGTGAAGCCGTGCTGGCTGTCATCAAGCACCTTGTTGTTTTTCATGTGCCTTAGCATGCCTTCCAGGAGAATTTGCTCCAAGATTTTGCCAGGCACAGAAGTGAAACTGACTGGTCTGTAATTCCCTGGGTCATCCATTTTCCCCTTCTTGAAAATGGGGGTTATATTTCCCTTTTTCCAGTCATCAGGACCTTCAGCTGACTGCCAGGATTTTTCAAATATGATGGACAGTGGCTTAGCAGCTTCATTCGCCAGCTCCTTCATGACCCGTGGATGTATTTAATCAGGTCCCATGGACTTGTGCACCTTCATGTTTTTAAGATGGTATCAAACCAGATCCTCTTCTGGAGTGGGCCCAAGGTCTTCATTCTGACAGTCCCTGCATCTGCCTTCCAAGACTTGGGTGGTGTGGTCAGAGCCTTTGCCAGTGAAGACTGAGGCAAGGAAGTCATTGAGAACCTCAACCTCGTCCAAACATAGTTACACAATCAAAATTTCTTGTGGGTAAAACTGTGTCCTCTCACTCTACCTGGTTCTGCATATGGCCTTATATTGCTTCACCAATAGAAATGACTTAAAATGTTGAAATATATTTTTTTTTATCATTACAGTCCTTCACACAGAACATACCCATTGTGGACCTTAAGATTTTTCTGATTTTTAAAGCTAGTAATATTTTAACTGTATTTGAATATAGACATCTAGAAGTTGCTTGCCAGTCAGAGACTATAACTGCTGTCTCTATGCAACAGTACATGGAAATGCTTGGTATAAGTAGAATAAGCTTCTCTGGGGTCTTGGAACTCTCTCCTACTGCTAACATGTTTTAAACTACATCCAGCCAAAGTGTAAGATGCCTTCCTTTTGCATTTCTTTTCATAATAGCATTCATTAGCAGGGGTGAAAAAACTCTACATTATTTCTCTACCAGGAAAAGACACAGTGAAGGAATCACATTCATTAGGTAGATACATCACAGTTATATATTTTGCTTTTTATTTCAATTAATATGGAATTTTCAAATCTTTTTTGAGTCTCTGAAACACCTGAAGAGATAAGAAGGTTGCAACTCAGAAAGCAAGTGAATTTGGAGATGCAGGGGAATCTTTAGGAGGAACAGCTCTAAATGTTACACAACTGAAAAAAAGGGCTTTAAAGAAGATGAATTAAAAATATCTTGCAGAGACAGAAACTAGAAATGCTTGGAACAAATTTGCTGTTGTTGCAGGCTACTGCTGTTCACATATGATAGGTCTTGCTTTTCTCTACTAAGCTTCTTCTATAGAAATATGGAGATGACATTGAGTATTTTTGGATTTGTAAAGGCAACTATGTGAAAGAACTTCAGGCAGAAGGTGTGAGATATCCAGCAATAGATCAACAGTTGGAATTTAATAAAATGGAAAAGGGATAGTAGCAAGACAGAAGTAGGAACAAAGCAGATGACTGCAGCTTTCCAAAAAACCTCCAGAGAATAAAATGAAGCATGTGGTGACAGCATGTGATACCAGAAAAGGAAATTGATTTAGCTCTGACAAATCCATTCTGTAATGGATCATGAATTTTGTCAGCTATTGTCCCAGTAGCAGGCCCCATGCCCTTAGAACAATAGATGCATGTTCAGGATCTGTGACTGCAGCTGCAGGCTGTTCAGGTGCAGAAGCAGCATAGAGAGATATAAACGATATTCTAACAGCATCTCAGACAGCTCAAAAGAAACAACAGCAGCTGTTGGAACTAATAGTGGCCTCACAGCTGAAGTCTTTAACTGTGGCAGGCTGCATTTCTGCCAGAACTGCTGAAAGCAGGACTGCAATGTAACTGGTGGGTCCGCTTGATGCATGCTGCGAGGCAAATGCAGGCAAGGGGTAACAACTAGATTTTTATCAGCTGAAGATGGCTTGTGGGGTTTTTTGTTTTCTTGTTAGGTTGGGGGCTTTTGTGTTGTGGTTTGGGTTTTTTTTTGGTTTGGTTTCTTGGGTTTTTTCCATTTTGCTTTGGTTTTGTTTTGGAGGTTTTTTGTGGGGGGAAGTCAAGTTACATTCATTTGTTTGTTTAGAAATGGAAAAATTTAGTTGGAGAAATAACAAGTATGTCACAGGTAGTGGGAGTATCACGGCAGAGTCTGCTGTTTTTCAATAACTAGCTATATTTTACAGAATTCTGGGATCATATTTACCAAGCAATTGGGCTCCTTCCAGTTTAGTTTAGCCTCTAAGGAGCAAGTTCAATACAGGCTCAAATTATGTGATTTAAAAAACAGCTTCCAGATCAGCTGTTGGCCTCTAATTTATGATGTAAAAATGATTTTTATAAGAAATGCCTATTGACAAAAATTCCAGTAATCTGACAATTGAAATATAAGCAGGTGGTATTCTGATGGTATTGAAACACAAACCTGTATTTCATCAGAAATTGTCCTTATTGATCTGGTATAGTAATCTGTTTCAGAGTTTCTCTTTTAAAATTTTTCCCCTTATTTTATGTTGTGTAATGTAACTATTTTCGTCTATCTAAATATCCAGTTTTCATTCCTCAGTGTGGCAATAATGCACAAATTTAATGAATAGGGTAAAAATGGTCAAAAATTAATACAGGCAATTCCATACTCTTTCAGTTTAGATTTGGAAAAAACAATATGGCTTTGGTTGCACTATGCAATCTGAAAGGAGATAAGAGGTTTCAGGGAATGTTTTACACTTTCTAATTCTTAGCCACAAGAGAGGTAAGGATACAGATAATTCTGTAGGTAAAGGGCAACCCATCAAGTCACTTAATTCAGTAAAGAAATAATATATTCAGCTTTTACTCTTGTTTGCTTACTTATGTCTCTACAGAAACTGAAGTTGGCAAACATTAATTTCTCTAATATATAGAATCATAGGATCATAGAATGGTTTAGGTTGGAAGAGACTTTAAAGATCATTTAGTTCCAACACCCTTGCCATGGGCAAGGACACCTTCCACTAGACCAGGTTGCTCAAACCTGGTCTTGAACAATTCCAAGGATGGGGCCGCCCACCACAACTTCCCTGGGCAACCCGTGCCAGTGTCTCACCATTGTCATAGAGAATATTTTTTTTGTAATATCTAATCTAAGTCTACTTTCTTTCAGTTTAAAGCCATCTTATGCTATATGTTTCTATATATTTATATGTAATAATTGATTACAGTTACTCACAGGTTTTTTTTATTGACATTCTATAAATAGATTTGGATTGTAATAAGTCTTAAGTTTGGGTTTTTTGTTGTTGTTGTTGTTTTGATTGGATTTTGTTTCTTTTCTGACAGGATGGGAAGGCCTCCATTGTGAGCTGGATGTCAATGAGTGCATATCCAACCCCTGCATACATGGCATTTGTGTTCAGCAGGACCCAAGCTTTGGTTACTCCTGTTTTTGCAAGGCAGGATTTGTGGTGAGATGCTGGAATTCTTTCTTGTCCTTCCCTTAGCTTGACTATTCATTGTTACATGGAAAACACAATATGCAATCATTTTCCTTTCTAGCCTAGCTCAGATAAAGCCTGGCTTTTCAGAAAAATACAGTATGTTAGTAACTGTTCTTTGATTTGGTTTGGTTTGGTTTTTTTGTTTTAGTAATAGTAACTCTAATATTCCAGAGAAATAGCTATCTGATATTGACAAAAAGTGGAAAAGTGTGTGCATGTAATGGCTTTGTGAGTCAGAAAAGTATGTTAGTATTTAAAAAAAACACTAATTTTATCATACATACAAATCAATGGTTCTATTTCACTTATTGATTAATATTTTTACATACTAAGATAACTCATGCTTGAGACTATTGCATACAGGTACTTTGAAAACAAGTTCCCTGTAACTAAACCAAATAGTTCCTTTTTGTGCTTGACACTCTAGGCTTTGATGCTGTTTTATTCTCTCTGTTCAGCATACCAAAAGAATCCTTTGAGGGTGGCTAAATGCCAATGCTGCATTCATGTAAGGTTGAAATTTCCATGCTGCTACCACCTTTTTTTACCGGCTCTTTCTGTAGCTGAAGACATGCAGTTGGTACATACAATCTTAGCTTGTGCTTTATGTCATCACACTTCAGTTTTGATATCATCTTTTTTTTATATCATTTGTTAATTTGGGGTTAGTTATGAGAAGAAAAAAGGAGTATATGATTTTAGGGTTTTTTTCTTATTTCAGTAATTCTTATCTCTACAACTCTAAGTTTGAAATTGTTGTTTGAATACCTTTTCTTTATAAATGCTGACAATTTATTTGATGTGTTTACAGCTGTAAAATAGAAGGAACAGGATATTGCAAGTAAGATTCAGATTCACTTTCATATATCTTGGCAATCAAGTCAAGAAAAAGCAACTTTTCAGACATTAGCTGGTTTCAGGGCTTCTTTCTACAGCAGAAGATTCTCATTTACTGTCAATGAGGGAAAAAGTAAAAAAGCAATAAAATGGTAAAGAAAAGAGTTTTTCTGAAAAGCAGAAAAAAACCCTTCTGTCTTCAGTTCTTCTCAGGCACCTTTAATCTCATTTCCATCCCAAAACATCAATTCCCTCAAGGAGTTCCCCAGTACATACTAGCACATGTCAAGAAGCACAGGTGTCAAGTGGGCTGCTTTAGAAGCAAAGGTAGGCCAGAAGCCAAGGATAGCAGCAAGGTAGGCAGAGGCAATGAGCTTACAGGCAAGGGATTGAGTCCCATAGTACTTGGAAAAAGACAGCAAAGCAAGACAAGTAATTATGTTAACCATCCAAAAGGTTCTTCCAAGTACTGCCAGGCAAGTCTATGATCACAAAGCAGGTCTAAGCAGAAGATGAATTGTACTATGTTTTTTGATATTAATTTCTCACCCAAAAAAATCTTCTGAACATCAAATAAAACCATCAGAGAGGAACCATCAGAGTGATTAAACATCCTAAAATATGTATTTGGTAGGCCCTTAATGGGTTCTGGTTCCTAACTATTGGGTAAGTGTGAGGAGGAAAGAGTGGACCTCCCACGGAAGTAAGTATTCAAGGATCTCCAGCTATACTGTGTGTAAAGTAAATCTTCTGTAGTCTATGTATGTGATACTGTATGAAGTATAGATTATAAAGTATGGATCATGAAGTTTCTCATAAATTTTGAGAGGGAAAGCATAGCCAGTGGCATATCGAAGAGATGTTTACTTTTAAAATGAAACAGCTGTGAATACTTTTAAATGCAGATCTGCACAACCTAAACAGTTATATGATTCTATGATTCTATGATTTACCTGCATGAAAGCTGTTAAAGCATTTACAGACAGACTTTCAAGGCTGTCAAATTTATCTATGACTATTTAATGTACCCTTCACACACAGCAGAGGTTATCCACATCCGCTTTGTTTCTATGAGTCATAAAATCTTAATGAAATGCTCTTCACCATTACATGTAAAAGTAATAAAAATGCACTAATAAGTAATAGGGAAAGTCAGAATAAAAAAGTTTTATAGGATTAAAAAAATTATTAGACAGAAATATTATTCAAACTGATAATTTGTGCTATGTGTGGAATTAAAATGGATCAAGGAAGAATGTTTTTATTATTCTGTGGGAACATGACATATGAATTGGCCTGCTGTTCCTTCATGCTTTTTGGAATACTGATACAGTGAGTGATTTTATAAGATGCCATGTATTTACTAGATAGCTCATCTGCTTGCCAAAGTAAAGTAAGAACTTGATTTAAACAGGAATGGATATATCTAAATCATTCAAAACCCGTCAATTTAACCTCTTCCATTTTAAACACTGAATTATTTAAACTACTTATAAGACTAATAATTTCATTTTCTCTGTATTTTTGCCTTTCTCTCTTTCACCTCCTATTATTTCCCAACATTATAAATGAATTTAATAGAGTTGATAGCGATCTAAGAAAATGTAAGTTGCTCAAGTTTTGTGTGAATAGCAAGCCAGGTAGCCAAGAGAGACTATTTAAGCATTTTGTTTGAGGGAAGAGTGCGATGAGCACATGCTTATTGAGCACTACAGTGTGCACTTGCAGCCCAGAAAGCCAACCGTATCCTGGGCTACATCAAAAGGAGTGTGACCAGCAGGTCAAAGGAGGTGATCCTGCCCCTTTATTCTGCTCTCGTGAGACCTCACTTGGAGTATTGTGTGCAGTTCTGGTGTCCTCAACGTAAAAAGGACATGGATCTGTTGGAACAAGTCCAGAGGAGGGCCACGAGGATGATTAGGGGACTGGAGCACCTCCTGTATGAAGATAGGCTGAGAAAGTTGGGGCTGTTCAGCCTGGAGAAGAGAAGGCTGTGTGGAGACCTCATAGCAGTCTTCCAGTACCTGAAGGGGGCATATAGGGATGCTAGGGATGGACTCTTCATTAGGGGCTGTAGTGATAGGACAATGGGTAATGGGTTAAAACTTAAACAGGGGAAGTTTAGATTGGATATAAGGAGGAAATTCTTTCCTGTTAGGGTGTTGATGCACAGGAATAGGTTGCCCAAGGAGGTTGTGAATGCTCCATCCCTGGCAGTGTTCAAGGCCAGGTTGGACGAGGCCTTGGGTGATATGATTTAGAGCGAGGTGTCCCTGTCCATGGCAGGGGGGTTGGAACTAGATGATCTTAAGATCTTTTCCAACCCTAGCTATTCTATGATTCTGTATGTGCCCCAGCTGTAGGAAAAGCTTCCGTCAGAAATTGTATCATGATGATATGTTGTCAGAGATGCATGTCTTGAGATGACACCATGCATATTTTAAGTAGCTATCCAGATATGTAGGAACCTTCTAGGTTAGCTGAGTTAGCTGTATCTCTTCACATAACCCATTAGTTCATTACAACGGAAGTGAAAATAAAATGAACTCAGGTCTGGCTTCAGAATATGTTTATTTCACACTTCAAGAATGCGTTTAATTCATGTACTTATTGCTATAAAAATGCAGTATTTCTTGTCTTTTTTACAACCCACTGAATAAAGCATTTTTAATTTATTATTAGGAAGGATATTTCAGGCTTCCCATGAATTGTTAGTCTTGATAAAAAAATAAAAAGTGAGTACCAGATCAAATTTGAGACTGCCACTACATGTTTTTTCCAAGAGGTATCTCTGAACTTAATGTATTAGCAAGGTTCTGTCTGAACATTTGCTGACAAAAGGCAAATACTTAAGCAAATACTTAGCTTCAGTGTACAAAAAGAAAGAGCATTAATTTGACAATCAGAGCAAACCACAGGCTTTTGGACAGCCAAGTCCACTGTATAAAATTTTCTGCATAACTACATGTCAACTGCAGATGATTATTCTAAACACTTTTTATTACTAGTGAAAATACTATCTTTAATACTTTGCAGTTATAAATCTGTGGAAAAACTATTTATATTGGTAATTTGTAATAGAGTCAAAATGTCATTCAGTTAAAATTTAAAGTATACGACTACACCATAAAATTAGTAAAGCAATATTTTCCACATGATTAGATTTGCTTTCAAAAGTGTGGAAAGCTTAATATAAGCAAACAGCATTTTAAAGTGAAGAGGAAGCAATAATTTGAACTAATGTAACTATGAAATGCAAATTGCTTTTAAAAATGGCTTTTTGAAAATTCTCTTTCAGGGACGAAGCTGTGAGCTTAATTACAATGATTGTCTTATACAGTCCTGCTCCACTGGGTTTCTTTGTGTTGATGGAATAAACAATATCACCTGTTTACCTATCCCCCAAAGCAAGAAAACTGTCACTGAAGTGGCTGAAGTGTTTCCTGATGAGATTTTAGACAATGACCTTCCGTCAGCCCTAGCTGTGTCTATGGAACTTTGGTCTGAACATTCTTCTCCTGATTTTCATACAGAAGAAGTGTCCCAAGGTAAGTAGAAAGAGCTTCTGAGTAATTGCATGTGTCAGTCTTCTTTCCTTGTTTGTGCTTTTTTAATGGTAAGAGTACTCAAAATATATTTTTTTCTTAAGAATGTTATTTTCTACTTCCTGTACTACCTTTTCTCCCATTAATTTAATCCATCATGCTTTTTTAATTGCATTCATATGTAATTGGAAAATTACTCTTTTCACTCAAAAGTGTTTTCTCCAAGCATCTTACACATCCAGTAGGGAAAATTGCATTTTCTCTGATTTTGGTTTTCGGTTTGCTTTGCTAGAGTGTACAATTTCATATACCTCATATTGAGTTCAGCCATCTCTGACCCTAATGCCAATCTTTCCTTTTTTCTGCTAGTCAGCAACAGAAAGATAATTTGCCTTACTCCATGGAGGCTTGATTTGCCTTTCCTGCTTTACGTGTTTTCTCAGTTCTTCCCTTTCTGTGCATCTAGGCAGTTTTTTCACTAAAAATATCTGCAACAAGCCTCTCAACATCTCTGCCACTCTGAACTGTTTATAGTGATGTTTTTGGGAAGCCCAAGAGACTCCTATCCTGTTATTTCTAACATATTTGAAGAAAAGTCAACACTAACACAAGTGCAACATTTTGTTTTGAAGATTGTGGCCTGTTCGTTTTATTAAAGCTAGTACTGTACAGATAGCATGTATATAAGGTGTCCTCTTTACAGTTTCAGAATTGTTTGCTTCTATACTCTTTCCAAGTAATTACTTGTATAAGAAATAAGACAGGGGTACTGCTTTTTTTAATTTAGGTAAATGAGTTTTACTTAATGCTTGATTTCTGTACAGACTAGTCTTTTGGAGATACACATATGTGTCAAGTAGGAATGAGGCACTGTTGGACTTGTTACTCACAAATCAAGAAAACCCGCTGTGTAATATACTGGTTAGTGCCAGCCCTGGTGCACTGAGCATAATATTGTGGAGTCTGGGATCTAGGTGAAGGTTAGTAATAAAACATAGTTCTTAGATTTTAGAAGAGCCAACTTCAGCTTGGATAGCACTCAGCTGGGAGGGATTCCATGGGAAGCTTCTATGGAGGATAAAGGAGCAAGAGAGTGCCAAGAGCATTTCAATAACACTCCTGGAAGCACAAAAAACAGTTAATGCCCTTTGAAGGTGAGGGAAGAAGGTGGAACAAGAATCAGAATCATAGAATAGTTTGAGTTGGAAGGAACCTTCATAGGTCAGAGAACCCTTTGGCCTAGCTGTGAGCTTGAGTCTGCTCAAAACCAAAACATAAGGATACCAGAGATGGGAAAGTGGGCAAATACCCATTGAGAACTACAAGGGTATTGACAGGGGGTGCACAGACACAGAAAAACAAAAGCTCTTCCTGAATTGAAATTGGCCAGATATGTCAAAACCTACAAGAAAGGATTCTTCAGGTTTATAAACAACAAGCAGAAACAGAAGGAAAGTATTGGTCCACTGTTAAGCAGGAGATGTCAATATTATCAGCAACACTGAAAAGGCAGAAGTCCTCAAGACTTTCTTCACCTCTGTCTTTACCAGCACTATTGAGCCCTAGGCCTTGAGAACAAAAATCCAGGTTGATGAAAACACAGACCCACTGTCGGTGAAAGAAGAGTTGGTATGTGAAGTGTTACAGAAGCTTGACCCCTACAAACTTATGGGCCCTGACAATTTGCACCAGAGGGTGTAAAAGAGCTGGCTTTCTGTAATCTTTGAGAAGTCATGGACATTAGAGGATGTCCCAGAAAGACTGGAAGAAGGCAAATGTCACCTTCATCTACAAGAAGGGCTCAAAGGAGGATCAGGGAAATTATTGGTCTATCAGTCTTACTTCAGTCTCTGGGAAGGTTATGGAATGAATCTCCTGCAGGCTATCACTAATCAAATGAAGCATGTGATTGGGAAAAATAGCATGGATTCACAAGGGGAAAATCATGCTTGACAAACCTGATCACCTTCTACAATAGTGTTCCCAGCTGATGTGGGGCAAGTGGTAGACATTGTCTACCTGTATTTCTCCAGGGCTCTCAACAGGGTTTTTCACAGACTCCTCCTAGAGAAACTGTCACGTTATGGTCTTAAGTGGTCTATATGATCGGTGGGGAACTGGCTGACTGGCTGCACCCAGAGGGTGGTGGTGAATAGCTCCTTTTCAAACTGGTAATGTGCCAGTTTGAACCTGGGGGATTCCCCAGGGATCAACACTGGGCTCAGAACTGTTCAGTATCTTCATAAATGATCTGGAAGATGGGATCAAGTATATCCTGATCAAGTTTGCCAATGATATCAAACTGAGTGGAGAAGTGAACACTTTGGGAGCACTACTCTGCAGGAAGACCTGGATAGGCTGGAAGAGTGGGCTAGCAAGAACTTCCTGAAGTTCAGCAAGGACAAGTGTAATGTCTCTCATGTGGGTAAACACAATGCAAGAATACAGTACAGGCTGGGATTTGCCCCTCTTGAGAGCAGCTCTGTGGAAAGAGACCTGGGGGCCCTGGTGGACAGCAAGCTCAGTATGAGTGAACAGTGTGAAGCTATGGCAAAGAAAGCCAACAGGAATCTGGGTTGCATCAACAAAGGCATCACCAGCAGAAATAAAGAAGCCATTTGCTCTACTCAGCATCTGTCAGGCCACACCTGAAATACTGTGTTCAGCTGGGTCATCTTGTCTCGACTGTGTTTTTGCCAAGAAAGGCTGGACTACATGATCCTTGAGGTCCCTTCCAACTTGCTATTCTATGATTCTAAGGTTTTCTTGCATTCTTAATAGGCAATATTCCTTCTTGGTGTAAGTAATGACACAGTGAAAAGCAGTTAGAAAATGCAGTTACATCTGTATATCTTCCAGAATATCATGTCAGCTAGTTTGCTGATGTTCTCAATGGGTAATATTTGTAATTCATTCCTTTTTATATTGATTCATGGTAGCAGTTTGAGTTAGAAAATCTAATACATCCGAGCAGTGTCACTTGTTCTGATTTTGGCCCTCATACAGAATATGAATAATGGGAGATTTGCATTTACTTCACTCATGAGGTCACTAAAACCGCTTTTACACTTTTATTAATAATATGATTTCCAGAGTGGCATTTGTTTGCTATAAAATACCTTGGTAACACTGAGTGAGGTTTTGGTGTCCATGTAATTTGCTGCAGAGTCAGTCTAGGGCTGAAGTTAGTTATTTTTTTCTTTCTCTTACATGTTTTTTTTTGTTGGTTGGGTTGGTTTTTTTTTTTTTTCTAAATTTTTATACTTAAAGGCCTAAACCAGTCAGATATTTTCAATGGTGCGACACTTCTGACCACTGATTTGGCTAAACTGAGTTATGGACTAGGAGGACTAATTGCCACTGGAAAGTCTTCAGCTGTATTCAGGATAACATCAACAGGTGTTCTCTCTTCACACTTTTTCTTAGTTCATCTGTTAAGGTCTCAGTAAAAATAAAGTCTAATATCTGCCTGTACCATACATGGCTACTGATACTTCTATAGATTTAAGGTCAGTACCTCTTCCAAAGCATAATCATGATACAAACTCATTTATCACTAGTCCCTTAATGACACTTTTCCTAAAAAAGTATCATCATTACAGGAGCACTAGCCTGTTGATTATCTGCCACAGATATGAGTTCAGAAATTAGGAATAGATCAAGGGCTGAAATAGAATTAAATGGCAAGTCATTACTCTCATATGGGTTACGGTTTGCAACTGATTCTACAAGTAGAGCTTCAGTTCTCTCCAAGTTGTTTCAAGAAGCTCCTGAAAATTGTCAGGTGTTTTTTCAGTATCAGAAAAGTGCAGATTACAAAGTCCTCCAATAATTTCTCATTCCTCTACTAATATATACATATAAAACCAGACATCTTTCCTCAGTCACAAAACTCAAATTCAGAACATCTCTTCCTAGTAAATATCTGGCTGTTACTGCTTCATTCATCAGCCAGATACTCACAAACATCAAACCACAGTCTGCTGATTCTTTAAGTGAGTTAAGCCAAATATGTGCAGCATTTTCTATGACTGGAATAAAACCAATGAATTCTCAGACCAAGTTCTGCATAGCAAACAGTTTCCACTTTATGAGATATTTTGGATTAACTCAGTGATATTAACCAGCTGGTACACACTAATGGGAGCTCCTGCTATTACTTCTGGGTATTTATGTTCTTCATCTAGCAAAATAACATCACTGGAGTTCACATGACTGTCATCCTTGCATCCCACTACAGGAAATACACACACACACATCTCTGATACAATTCTCTATTCTGCCTTTTCCTTCAGAAGAATCAGATGTTAATTTTCCATGGTTTTATTCATATTGTCAGACTATTTTTCCTTTAAAGACTATATCTTTATAATCTTCATTTTCATCATGTATGTTCTTTAGAGAGAGAAATGTTGACTTGACAAAATTATTAACTACTATTGAGCACGTGACAACAGAAGAAATTCAACAATTACTGGAGACAAAACTACATGGTCCAGTTACAGAGATATTCATTAAGTCAGAGGACTTTCTTAAACATTCAGCTGAGTAGTTTATCTCAAGAATTACTTTTAACACACATAATAAACAATAGTTCTGAGTTCAAAAATACATCTACTAATAAATACAGATGAGACACTTAAAATATTAAACAAAAAACCCAGTCTGGTCAAGTATTATTGATGTATATCATCTTCCTACAAAAACCTCCTGACAGATACCCTGAAAGGTCATCATTATTTAAATCTTCTAGTGAGTTATCTTACTTGGTTTATCTGCACAAGCCTCGTCTGTGCAAACAGAAATCTGTAAAATGTTAGTGACAAAGCATTTATCTTTACATACCTGTTATCCTACTTTAAGTTCTGCCTTGCAATAACATTAACAATATTGTACTGAAACACACGCAATCAGCAGACACTACTGCCTGTGTATGATAAGGAGTTCCTCGTGAATCTAAATACTGTCTTACCTAGACTTCACAGTATATCTGCAGTAGATTC